GTCGCAGCTCGAGCTTCGTGATCGGCACTTCCATTACATCGCTGTCGGTGGACTCCTCACCCGCCGACTGCTCCCCTTTCTCGTCGACGAGAACGTCATCGACCAGCTGCTTCGACCCTTTGACCGGCTGTTTGTCTGCTGCTGCCTTCGACAACTCTCCTGTCGACCGCTCCGGCTGCTGCTTCCCTGTCGAGTGTACCCCTGCCGTTGCCTCCTGTTCGACCGGCTCCCCTGTCTGGTGCTCCCCTGTCGTCGTCGGCTTGGCATCTTGGTCGACGAGCTTGGCACCCTGTTGACCGCCGGCGATGCCATGGGCCGGCGCCACAGGCGACGCCTCAAGGCTCCCCTCATCGTCGGTGGGCGACACAGGTGCCGACCCAGGCCGATCTGCGACGGGGAACGGAGGAGCAAAGACAGGGGGAGGGGAAAGAACCTCCACAACATCCTCATCACCGGGTTCGTCGACTTCGGCGAGCAACGGAGCCGTCGCTGTCGATGTATCCGTTGGCGGGTGCGCCTGCGTCCGCTTCGACGCCGGCCCATACTTCGCCTTCCACACCTCCAGCGACAGCGTCTCGTAGAAGATCACCTCGACCGACGTGACCACTGTGTTGTCGGTCAGGTCGAGCACGTCCCAGCCCTTGCTCTCTGGCGACACACCCAGGTGAAGTCCCCAGCGAGCCTTCGGCGCCAGCTTCCCACCGCGTTGCTGCTCGGGAACCATGAACTGCACCATGCAGCCCCACACCCGCGCCAGCGTAAGGTCGGGCTTCTGCCCGGTCAGCAGCTGGTACGGAGTCGTCCCCGGCGGTGTCGTCAACCGCTCCAAGCAGTTGCGCACCCAGACAGCTTGTCGTAGAGCAAGGTGCCACCAGTGGTGCTGCACGCCCATGTGCAGCAACATCGTCCGCACGGACTCGACGACCGTGCGCATCTCCCGCTCAGCCATGCCATTCTGCTGCGGAGTGTAGGGGCACGTCAGGTCGTGGACGATGCCCTTCCCGTCGACGAAGTCGGTGAACGCCTTCCCGAGGAACTCCCCTCCTCGATCGGAGCGAAGCGACAGCACCGACTTCTTCGTCTGCCGTTCCACCAGCACCAGCCACCGTTGGAATTCCCGCAGCACGTCGCTCTTCCGAGCGACCGGCATTGCCCATACAAATCGAATATGACGATCCTTCAGCAGCAGGAAGTACAGGCTGCCATCCTTGGCAGCTACTCGAAATGGCCCGCACAAGTCAATGTGCACGACAGCCAGCGCCTCCGCTGCGTCCGAGCCCTTGGCAGGGAAGGTGTGCCGCGCCAGCTTTCCTCCGACGCACGAGACACACGGCGGGTCTGCTTCGGTCGACGGCGTGATGTCGAGCCCAACAACAACTCCATGCTTTGCCGAGCTCTTGATCGTGTCGACGCCGACGTGCGCGAGCCTCGCATGCACTCGATCAGGGGTCGCCTTTCACGCCGAGACGATCGTCCGCAGAGCCACCACCTCGGTCGACGGTGACTGTGTCGAGCAGGGGCGAAGGCCGGTGCAGAGGACTCGTCCGGTGTAGCATGCTCGACCGAGCACCTCCCCGGTCGTAGCAACGAGCAACATCTAGTCGCCGTCACCCTGCAGCTGCACTCCGCTCTCCTTCAGTTGGCCGGCTGACAGCAGGTTCGCCTGAACACCCGGAACGTAGAGCACGTCGGGGATGAGCACCCGCTTCCCGGCCTCCCCTTGCAGAGCGACAGTTCCACGACCCTCGACAGATTGTAATGCCCCGTTGAACCCACGCACATGCTTCACTCCGTCGCTCGGCCCCATGTCGACGAAGACCGACTTCGTCCCCATCAGGTGGTGGGAGCACCCGCTGTCGAGCAGCACCGCCATCGGGTTGGCCTGCATAGCTGCTGCCACCGCCTGGAAGTCCTCGCCAGCCTCCGGTGCTAGCGAGACCGTCGGCTCCACCACGCTGACCATCGAGCACGATGCCTCCCCGTCGCCTCGGCTCTTGCCGCTGGAGCTGTCGACGTCCTTCGTCGAGGACGTCTTCTTCGACGCTTGCTTCTCCTTGCGCGGCTTGTCAACTCGACGGGGGCCACGACTGGCCGATCGACCGCGGCCTTCCTTATTGTCGTCCTCGTCGCTGTCATCGCGATCGGGGCACTCGAAGGAGAGATGGTCGGGGTCGCCGCAGATCCAGCACTCCCACCGTCGACCACCACCTCGTCGACCCTTGTCCCGCGTCGACCTCTTCTCGTCGACGTCCTTTGTCGACCGCCCACCTCCGCTACCACCTCCGCCTGGCTTCCCGCGCTGCTCCTGCTGACTATTCGGCTTCGTCGGTGCAGCGTAACTCGCCTGCGGAAGGAACTCCGTGGCCTGCTCTGCCTCCTGCATCGCCTCATCCTGAAGGATGTAGCTGGTAAGGGAGTCCTCGTCGAGGGACTCACGTGTGCCGGGCACCATCGTAAACCTCTTCATGAGGTTGTAGCTGCGCGGCAGGCCCTTGAGGACGTGGGTGATGTAGGACGCCGTCGAGTATTCGGCGCCCGCCATCCTTATCTCAGCTAGGATCCGTCGAGCTCGGTTGCAGTAGTCCGTCGCCGACTCCTGCTCGCCCATTCGAATGTGAGTCATCTTCTCCTCTAGCTGTCCGATGTACAGGTCGTCCCTAGCCTGGTACGTCGACATGATGAAGTGCCATGCCTGGTGACCAACATCCAGTCGCTCTCGACAGCTCTTGAGCGCTAGCTGCACCACTGGCGAGCAGCACCTCGAGATGACCATGAAGGTGAGCAGGTGAGCAGAACAAAACTCCCCGCGTAGCTCGACATCCTCCTCGGGCGGAAAGGGCACGGTGCCATTGGCAACGCCCTTCAGCCCGGCGACCTCTAGCTGAGGTTCAATCGACTCCCTCCAGGTGATGAGGTCCCGTCGACCTTGCAGCGGTACGACGGCGATCCGGTCCGGCGAGAACTTGAAGTAGCCATACGCCGGTGCAATCCCGCCCGCCGTCACGTGTGTCGTCACCGAGAGCCCTCCACCCCTTCGTGGAGGAGAACGGCGTCGAACATCGACGTCGACACGCGAGCTCCCTGCAGCAGCCGTCGACCGCTGCACTCGCGCCTGGATTCCGTTGACACCACCGTCGACCTTGATCACTCCTCTCTGCCTCGTGCCTTCGCTGCCGCTGACTCGTGCACCACCGTTGACCTCGTCGTCGACGCCACCTTCGTTGCGCACCGGTCGAGGAGAAGTAGGACGGGAAGGGTGTTCCGTCGCCCACTGCGACCGGATGCCCAACTCGACGATCACCAAGGGGATCGTCCCGTACTCGCCATCCGCATGGCGTCTCCTCGCGTCAGCCAAACGTGCCTCCAGGGTGTCTGCTACACCCGCATCAACTACGGGGTCGACCATGGCGACTATCGCTGCTGCCGGCCTACGAACGACTTAGTAGGTGCAAAAGTCGGCTCCTATCTGAAGGTCGCGTGTTCGATCCACGCTCACCGCACCAGGCGGAGATTCACTCTACAACGGTAGTGAGCTAGACAACAGGGGTTGGCACGAACTACTAGAGGTGATCGTAGCTTTGCTTGGTTCCTTAGTGTTTGCACATTCACGGGAGAAATTGGCAAGAGTTTCTACTAGCAAAGTTGGAATTCGAGAATTAGTCCAACAAGAGATGGCAACAATGACTACATCAGGCACCTAGCAACCCTGCTGCTAGCCTGGTCGACCGCCAGCACAGCTCGGTCGACCGCCTGCCAGCGTTGCGTAGAGGAGCCGCGCCAGCACTGCAGAAAGGCGACCTGCCAACGGAGCAGGTCGATGGCGTGCCAACGCTGCAGCAGAGCGGCTGTCCAGCGTTGCCCCGTAGAACACAGCAGTGTGCACGCTCGCAGGTGTGCGCAGACGATTGGCCCGACTTGCCTCGTTGGGCATTCGTCGGCTGTTGTCTGCGCCTGACGAGCCATATCGACTCCGGGATACCAGCCCGTAGTCGCCTGCGCCATCGCAACCTCGACGACATTCGCGTGCCTCCGCAGAACTCGTCGAGCAGGTTACCCAGTCGACCCGGTCGACCATCAGGTGCTTCCGGTCGACCACCAGGTCCCTCTGGTTGACCGCAACTCCCGTCGAGCTACCCCCTGGTCGACGGACCCCTTCCGTCGACCAGAGCCATCAGCGGTTGTCGGCGAGCTCCCCTCGTCGACCGCTGCTCACTTGTCAGGTCGACGGACTGCTCCGTCGACCTCCCGGTCGAACTGCAGGTCCTGGTCGACGTCCCACCCGTCGCCCAGACCAGTCAGTTGCAGCTGTCGAGCTCCCTAGTCGACAGCAACACCACAGCGGTCCCCTGCACCTCGACGAAGCCTGTCGAGCAGCTCTCCCACTGTGAACGGTCGGTTGCTACTCCCGTACATCCGACCAAGTCGTCGGCGTTGCCCAAGCGAGGGCGGGGCCAACACTCCATTCCTGTTAACACTCCTCACTCCTCACCTTGCGTGCTCTTCTCTCCTCACCTTGCGTCCTCCTCTCTCCTCACCTTGCGTCCTCCTCTCTCCTCAATTTGCGTGCTCCTCTCTCCTCACCTTGCGTGCTCCTCGCTTCTCACCTTGCGTCCTCCTCTATCCTCACCTTGCGTGCTCCTCACACCTCACCTTGCGTGCTCTTCTCTCCTCACCTTGCGTCCTCCTCTCTCCTCACCTTACGACTGCCTCTCTCCTCACCTTGCGTGCTCCTCTCTCCTCACCTTGCGTGCTCCTCTCGCCTCCCCGCGCGTGCCCCTCTCTCCTCACCTTGCGTCCTCCTCTCTCCTCACCTTGCGTGCTCCTCTCTCCTCCCCTTGCGTGCTCCACTCTCCTCACCCTGCGTCCTACTCTCTTCTCACCTTGCGTCCTCCTCTATCCTCACCTTGCGTGCTCCTCACTCCTCACCTTGCGTGGTCTTCTCTCCTCACCTTGCGTGCCCCTCTCTCCTCACCTTGCGTCCTCCTCTCTCCTCACCTTGCATGCTCCTCTCTCCTCAACATGCGTGCTCCTCTCTCCTCCCCTTGCGTGCTCCTCTCTCCTCAACTTGCGTGCTCCTCTCTCCTCACCTTGCGTCCTCCTCTCTCCTCCCCGCGTGTGCCCCTCTCTCCTCACCTTGCGTCCTCCTCTCTCCTCACCTTGCGTGCTCCTCTCTCCTCACCATGCGTGTTCCTCTCTCCTCACCTTGCGTGCTCCTCTCTCCTCACCTCCCGTGCTCCACTCTGACAGGTGGGGTGCTCCTCTCTCCTCACCTCCCGGGTTTTGCTCTGACAGGTGGGGTGCTCCTCTCTCCTCCCCTCCCGTGCTCCACTCTGACAGGGCAGGGTGCTCCTCTCTCCTCACCTCCCGTGCTCCACTCTGACAGGGCAGGGTGCTCCTCTCTCCTCACCTCCCGTGCTCCACTCTGACAGGGCAGGGTGCTCCTCTCTCCTCACCTCCCGTGCTCCACTCTGACAGGGCAGGGTGCTCCTCTCTCCTCACCTCCCGTGCTCCACTCTGACAGGTGGGGTGCTCCTCTCTCCTCACCTCCCGTGCTCCACTCTGACAGGGCAGGGTGCTCCTCTCTCCTCACCTCCCGTGCTCCACTCTGACAGGTGGGGTGCTCCTCTCTCCTCACCTCCCGTGCTCCACTCTGAAAGGGCAGGGTGCTCCTCTCTCCTCACCTCCTGTGCTCCACTCTGACAGGGCAGGGTGCTCCTCTCTCCTCACCTCCCGTGCTCCACTCTGACAGGGCAGGGTGCTCCTCTCTCCTCACCTCCCGTGCTCCACTATGACAGGGCAGGGTGCTCCTCTCTCCTCACCTCCCTTGCTCCACTCTGACAGGTGGGGTGCTCCTCTCTCCTCACCTCCCGTGCTCCACTCTGACAGGTGGGGTGCTCCTCTCTCCGCACCTCCCGTGCTCCACTCTGACAGGTGGGGTGCTCCTCTCTCCTCACCTCCCGTGCTCCACTCTGACAGGTGGGGTGCTCCTCTCTCCACACCTCCCGTGCTCCACTCTGACAGGTGGGGTGCTTCCGGACCTGTTGTTTAGTTCCTGAACTGCCCACCCTCCCCTTCACAGCCAACTCAATTCAATGACCTGCGTAATCCGATAAGTTCTCCCCCCCCCCCCCCCCCCCCCAACCCATTCACTCCCTAACCCCTCCCTCTCCCTTCTTGTTTTCTGCCTGATGTTCCCTTTTCTCACCCTCTAAACCAGTCCACCTTATCAGCCATGTCTTCATGGAGACGTACTCCTCGGAGATGGCTGACGCTTGGATTCAGGGTTGGGGAGGAGGGTTCCGAGGATGATGAGGAGGAGAGGGGTCGGCGACGTGGACCGGAGTCGATGTTCACGGCAAGTACGGGCACCCTTTCAGCCCATACTCGTTCGGTTGCTGCGAGCACAACACGTCCCTTTCCTAGGGTTCGAGCTCGAAGAGTTGTGCAGCCAACGGGCTTGCCCCGGCAGGTTCAACATGTGAAAGAACGGTGGTCCATATCTGAGTTTGAGGGGCGATATGCCAAGCAGCATCGTGTGCTTGACGCTTGGGCGCGACATTGGCTCGGATTGTCGGATGAGGAGGGCCCCGGGAGTCAGAGAATTAGTGTGGCGAGCATTCTGAGGGTGTGTTTGGGGAAAAACACGGAAGAGGATTCTCAAGGTCAACCTATGGGGCCAAAGAACCATCGTTTTCGTTGCTACATTCAATACTCTGCCTTGTTAGGTAATCATCCATTTGCACAAGTGACTTTGCCATGGCTAATCCACGTCGTGATCGGCTCGCTTTACCCCGAGCCAACGGGCATGGGTTACAGAAAATGTAGTCAAGGCGATGTGGACTGGTTCAACCTGGAATGGAGCATCCCTGACGAGATTGATTTTGGGATGAGGTCAAACGATGCTAGGTCAATTGTCAATGTGGCCACGCAGGAGTCTGGAATTTACTGATTGTTAGGGAGGGAGGGATGGTTATCGGGTACGATTTATTGTGTACATGTGTTCCTCTTTTTACACAGTCTGCAATAGTTCGACATGTGGATGGATGACCATCCAGCTATGATGGATAGATCAATGAAGAAGCCCTATGTGTGCAGTCAAGTATGTTATTTGATGGGGGAGGACATGTTTCACTTCTCAGCTTCTAGCCATGGGGGAGCGTGTTGCGTCATTTGCCTACACTACTTGTGAAAAAACGGCATCCTCACGTGCACGGGATTAGTGCGAGGCAAGCACACGCTTAGAGTTGCACGTGAACACGTGTAGGTGCAGTGATGAATGGGGCTGATGGTGACTTGGCTGATGTCCAACGCTGCTTGCCCTTGCCCTTGCGGATCTGAGCACAGAGAGAGGCGGGAGGGTCGAGACAGGTGGAGAGAGGTGGAGACAGGTACTACGGAAACAAGTTTGCAAAAAGTGGTGCCGAGTGCATGTATCAGGCCAGACAGTACACTTGGGAGTGTGTCTCAGTGTAGTGCATGTGGTGCGGACAGAGCAGCCACGGCGAGCGGAACGTGCACTACGGACAGCATGAGCAATGCAGAGCAGACAGTGCAATGACTCACCTCCCGTGTGAGGTCTTGGCCACTCTCTTCACAGATATGCAGCATGCTCTCCGTTGGCTGACATGCAGGGGGGGATAGGAAGGTGGGACAGGAGAGAGGATGGGACAGGCAAGGGAGGGGAACAGGACTGAACCAGTATTGGGCGGATGGGAGGAAAGGAGGATGGGAGGAAAGGAGGATGGGAGGAAAGGTTGGATGAGAGGAAGGGGGGACGGGTGGAATGGCAGGGGAGAGGAAGGGAGGATGAGAGAATGGGAGTATGAGAGAATGGGAGAATGAGAAGAGAGAGGAGGAAAGAGAAGGGCGGATGAGAGGAAGGGCGGATGAGAGGAAGGGCGGATGAGAGGAAGGGTGGATGAGAGGAAAGGAGGATGAGAGGAGGGGGGGATGAGAGGAAGGGAGGACGAGGGGAACAGAGGATGAGATGAAGGGCGGTTGTGGGGAAGGGAGGATGAGATGAAGGGCGGATGAGGGGGGTGGCGGATGAGATGGAGGGAGGATCTGAAGAAGGGTGGATGAGAGAAAGGAGGATGAGAGGGAGAGACGATGAGGAGGAGAGAGGATGAGAGCGTGAAGGGTGGATGAGAGGAAGGGCGGATGAGAGGAAAGGAGGATGGGAGGAAAGGTTGGATGAGAGGAAGGGGGGACGAGTGGAATGGAAGGGGAGAGGAAGGGAGGATGAGAGAAAGGGAGTATGAGAGAATGGGAGAATGAGAAGGAGAGAGGATGAGAGAGAAGGGCGGATGAGAGGAAGGGCGGATGTGGGGATGGGAGGATGACAGGAAAGGAGGATGAGAGGAAAGGAGGATGAGAGGAGGGGAGGACGAGGGGAACAGAGGATGAGATGAAGGGCGGATGTGGGGAAGGGAGGATGAGATGAAGGGCGGATGAGGGGAATGGAGGATGAGATGAAGGGCGGATGAGGGGGAGGGCGGATGAGGGGGAGGGAGGACGCGAAGAAGGGTGGACGAGGGTAAGGAGGATGAGAGGGAGAGACGATGAGAAGGAGAGAGGATGAGAGCGTGAAGGGCGGATGAGAGGAAGGGCGGATGAGAGGAAGGGCGGATGAGAGGAAAGGAGGATGAGAGGAAAGGAGGATGAGAGGAAGGGGGGATGAGAGGAAGGTTGGATGAGAGAAGGGAGGATGAGATGAAGGGCGGTTGAGGGGGAGGGCGGATGAGGGGGAGGGAGGACGAGAAGAAGGGTGGATGAGAGGGAGGGCGGACGAGGGGGAGGGCGGATGAGGGGGAGGGCGGATGAGGGCGTGTGGCGAAAGAAGGGTAGGGAGGACGAGTGGAAATGAGGACGATAGGAGGGGCGGAGAGAGGGAGAGAGGATGTGAGAGAAGGGCGGACGAGAGGAAGGGCGGATGAGAGGAAGGGAGGATGAAGGGAATTGTGAGCGACAGGTAGCGAAATGTGGGCGACGGGGAGGGAAACGAGGGCGACGAGAGGGGAAATGAGGGCGACGGGAAGGGAAATGTGGGCGATGAGAGGGGAAATGAGGGCGACGGGAAGGGAAATGTGGGCGACGAGAGGGGAAATGAGGGCGACGAGAGGGGAAACGAGGGCGACGGGAAGGGAAATGTGGGCGACGGGGAGGGAAATGAGTGCGACGGGAAGGGAAATTAGTGCGACGGGAAGGGACACGAGGGCGACGGGGTGTGAAATGAGTGCGACGGTAAGGGAAATTAGTGCGACGGGAAGGGTAATGAGGGCGACAGGAAGGGAAACGAGGGCGACGACAAGGGAAGTGAGTGCGACGGGAAGGGAAATGGGGCGACGGGAAGGGATTTGTGGGCGACGGGTCCGGTAATGTGGGTTCTCGGGAAGGGAATTGAGGGCGACCGGACTCGGGAAGTGTAGGCAACTCGAAATATGGGATACGAGGGCGACGGGACGCGAAATGGGGGCGACGGGAAGCTGAAATGTGGGCGACGGGAAGCTGAAAATGAGGGCAACGGGGGGCTGAGATGAGCCCGACGGGAGGCTTCTCACCATGCGCTATGTGAAAGGCAGGCGCTCGCAATCGGCGGGGAGGAAACTTTCCCGGGCAGGGCGGGAGGCTTGATGCTGAGAGCGCCTCGAGCGCGTGGGAGTCTAAGCTGGACCGACGGGTGGCGTAACAAGGCTATGTGGGGCAGACCGATGGATATGTCCGCCCTGTTCCCTATGTGTTGAGGGCGTTGTCGAGGGCGCTTGTTTTAGCCTACACTTTTCGAGTACCGCTGAAAATCGCTAGGTCAGGCCTTGATGTGTTAGGCTAACTCACGTGCGACCTTGCGTTAAGTAACGCCATTGCCCTCCACACCCTAAAAATCGCACTTTTCCGGTACAGTCATTGCGGACATTCGCTCCCAACGGCTCCTCCTCGTATTTATAGAGGCTAAGGTCGCGCCTCGCTGAAGGGAAATTAGGACTTGTTATGTTTGTTTGAGTGCCTGTAATTCCCTAATCAAACTGTGCACACTTTCCCTGGGATGTTGCTTCTCAGGTCTGTCAAACTTGGGAAGATGGGCCCTGCCTGATTTTTCCAACCAATCAGCAAGTGCACAGTTTGTGGCGAACTGTATTCAGTCGCAAGCTGGTTTTGGTTTTTCGCGTGTCACTCAACCCATCCGAACCTCCAACTGGCAGCCCGCCGAACCTAGAAATACTCAGTTGACTGCCGTTGAGTAATTCAGGTCTTGGGCTTTAAATGGACGATGGACTGAGGAAGGAGTACAGTAAACTACCGCTGTAAACAGCATCACAAATCGTCAACAAACAAGCTATAATGAGGTTTTCAAAATCAGGCCACCCTTTTTGTAAGTGTCGACCTACAGTTTCCCTCCGAGCAGCAAACTGAAGCATGGGTGGCCTAGGGAACAATCGTCCGAGCGTCGACCTGCCTGACCATCTAGACTAATACTGTTACGAGTGCAATTGAGTGAACGAACGAGAATTGCACTATCGAGGCAAGAATACAATGAGCGAAGGCATGAGCGAAGAATATATAGCGAAACTACAGTGGTAACGGTAATGGACTGTGGTTGTCGCGTGACGGGTCTGGGACTGAGGTTGGGAAAAGTGTCGAAGCGGAGGCCCGGAGCGCGGGTTACCCGCCGAGCCGTGAGGTCGGGGTGCGACGCGTGAAGGTGGCGGGAGGATTGTCGATGCGAGAGTTGCGAGTGGTAACGGTGCTGACTGTGGGGCTACAGTGGTGTACGCGCTGAGCGGGGACGCGAAGTAAGGAAAAGGAATTTTCCTTACACTACCCCCCCCCTTAAGGAGGTCCTCCTTACAAAAGTGCGTGTACATCCCTGAAGTTTCGGCTGCGCAGATACTCGGTGAGGACGGGGTGGTTTTCGATTCTGTCCAGGGGAACCCAGTTGTCTTCGGTGGGTGTACGGTCTTTCCAGCGTATCAGGAACTCAATCCTTCGGGCTCCTCGAGGGTCACGAACTCGGTGGCTTAGGATTTTTTCGGGGGTGATGATTGGTTCAGT